AAACATGGTACCAGACAACCACCGTTAAAACACAGGAGAGTGGTTAAAAGAAAAGGATCGGGACCAAGAAGTCACTGAATCTTTACTAGTGAGGGAGGATGGCTACTGTATACAATCTAATCTAAACTGTAGTAACAGGCCTTGAATTTAACTCCCTCATACTACAAAGAAAGCAAGACTTCACAGAAACACCAATGACAAATCATCTTTTAGTAATAAATTAGCACTGATTCTTTTAAGATTAAAAAAAAAGAAAAGCTATAACTCCCCAACCCTTTTAACCAAACAACTTTTTGTCAGTGTTTTTTCTTTGGACATTCGGTCTTGTCAAACCTTTAAATACGCCATAGCTCACAGCTTTTCTTGTGGCTTATTATCACTTGTCATGAATTATAAATACTTGTATATGTATATTACCTACCCTGTCAGACTGAAAGAACCTTAAAATAAGGGCATTTACTCATTCACTTTAAAAGAGATTGAAAAAAAAAATCATTTACTTTTCCAGGGTGATGGTACCTTGCATGAAGGCGATGCTTAATAAATGTTTATTTAACATGGAGTGAGTGAGTGAATGAATAAAATGAACAACCCTGCCATTCTGGAGTTTTTACTCAAATATAAGTTCCATATCAATATTAACTCAATTAAACTCAGTAAGCATTTATGGATAGCATACTACATGTCAGGCCCTTTCATATTCAGACAAGGAAACACAATGTGGCTAAGATGGCAATTCTCCCCAAATTGATTTATAGATTAATTCAATCCCTATCAAAATCATGGCAGTCATTTTTATAGACATTTATAAACTGATTCTAAAATTTATATGAAAATGTAAACGATATAATAGCTAAAACAATTTTGAAAAAGAACAAAGTAGAGAACTGGCATTACCAGATTTCAGATCTTACTATAAAACCATAGTAACCAAGATAATGTGGTATTAATGTAAGAACTGACATATAGATAATGGTACACAAATTAGAGCTCCCAAATAAACTTTTACATTTATGATGAACTGATTTTCAACAAAGGTACCCAGATAATTCAGTGCAAAAAGGATTGTCCTGTTCAACACTGGTGCTGGGACAATTGGATATTCACATGCCAAAGCCAAAAAAAAATTGCAAACCTTTTTCTGTAATATGTGGTGCAAATATTTTTTCCCCAGTTTTTCATAAGTTTTTAAATTTTAAGTGTTTTTTCTTTTTCTTTTTTTTTGCCATATTGACATTTTCATCTTTATGTAGTCAAATGTATCTTCATTTTCATTTATAGAGTCTGTCTCTGGTGTTATGACTTGTGATGTTCTTATGAAAGAATAATCAGAAATCTTGAATATTATTAGTTAAGCATCCCTTGTCCCAAGCCCAGCACTACTGGGCCATTCCATTTTAAGGAAAGAGATAAAACGTAATATTTCAAAACTAGAGGCAGACAGTCTTTTTTTCTTTAAACCTTTAAGTGTAAAGAAACACTAGTGTTTACATCCCAAATTCCTAGAAAAAAATGTCTCATTAGAGAATTTCTGATGTGACACACTAGACATTTCCAATAGTTCTAGTAATGAGGAACTGTAAAAATAAGTGGAAGGATGTCAAAATGTGTTTGCTGTTGCTAATCATGCCAGATCTATTACTCTAGGCCTCACTGGCTGATGTCTCTTTGTAGAACACCAGATCATCACCTAACAACGTGACCACTGCAGGCATCTCTGGATGTCTGACCAGAACAGTCTAGAACTCAGTCATATATTATATTATCCCACCACCACTTGAGTCCATGCATATTATAATTTTCCCTGCTATTCCACTCACTATTAATGGGTGGTGGCACATAACCTACCACTCGTTAGGTAATACATATAAGAAACTCAACTTTATTTAACTCTCACAAACTCAGAGATTTAATGTTAACTGAAGAACACACTGTTGAGTGCAGTACTGTTTCAAAAAATACTACAGCAATTATAAAAAAAAAACATTTGGTTTAACGTAGCTATGACTAATACATACAAAGAGATAAAACTCACAAAGATATGACTAAGGAATGTCATAATGCTGTTGTACATTAACGTGGATATTATGGCCTCTAAATTGTAAGACTGAAGCCTGGTCATGTTAAGATACAATCAGAAGAGCTTTCAAATGCCTGATAACAGATAATGACTGTTTTTCTCTTTCTATATTTGAGTCCTACACACATTTTCAAGACAAGCTCAAATTCAACCTTCTTTCCTTATCTATCCTACCGCTTTAAAATTTACACTATATATTCTAGAACACATATACAGGCTTAACATTATTCAATTATTTTGTATCTGCTACTTTGGCATTGAATTATATATGAGCTTCATGAGAGCAATTAAAACAATGCTAGGATTACAAATGTTTTTATTGTTTTTATTTTTAAAATTTTATTTATTATATTTTTATTCTAAATGTTTTATTATTAATGCTGCTTCTTACTCTGAAGAACAGCCTAAACAGGTGCTCATTAAATAACCTTTTTTGATTTCTGGGAAAAAAAGTGAAAAAAGGGGCCAAGATGGCAAAAAGTATTGTGGGAGCACTTTTAACAACTATAATGTAGAACGGGCAGTCCTTTAGTCAAGAAAAATATTGTGGAGTGTTATGTAAATGTTTTAGCAGTTACCCCAGCTTTATAGATCTCCAAGAACTATGCATAGATTGTGTCCAGTTCTTTTCTTTGCATCTAGGCAGGCTTTATCTAATGACAACGGTTTCCAATGTAAGTTCCAGTGAACTCAATGATTCCACAAGGCTACTCTAAGGTTTGACTGATGGATGGGATGGCCACAGTAGCCAAGTTCAATTTGTGGCTGCTCCTGTCCAGGCCTTTGGGCTCCAGGTATAAATGAAAAGCCTTCCTATTAATCAAGGAAAGGGTTTGCCATCTCTGATGAATACTCTGATGTCCTGAGGGATAACACATAGGTGCCTGTATACAGGTCCCCTAGTACCAGGATGCCTGGCTAGCTTCTGTATGGGTGCTCCCTGTCTTCCAGAGAAATAAAATAATAATGAAAAGCCAGTTTCTCTAGTGCTCTTCTTTTCTTCCCTTCTACTTCCTTAAGAGAGGTGGACAGTGAGAGAAAGTAATGGTTTCACCAACTCTAGCTCTTGAACAACAAGGATTCTACCACATCAGGGCCCCTCATACATAAAGGGTTCAAGCACATCTAACTTACTGTTCATCTAAATTTGCCGATTCCCAGGAAAGGAGATGGCACCAACTTGATAACCCATTTCTTGATAATCAGTTTCTTTGACTCTACTAGAATTCCCAACCTCATTAAACCTCAGATAAAATGCTGAAAATGGTGGCATCGTTTTAATATCCTCTATCTAATATAACAGGGCTGGAAAAGCAATACTTTCATAAAAATTAAGTTTAATAAATCTCAAGTATTGATACTTTTAATATGCCATCCATCTTCTTAGGCTAAGAGTCTCTCTGGATTTCCTACATTCTTACTGACCCACCCAGCATTAAATAAAGAAAATAAGTAAATAATGTTTGAAAGTAAGGACTTTGGCCCACAGCATCTAATTAAATCTTTGGTACTAGTTATTGCTTGGTGAGACATTGGATAATGTATGTCTTTAAACCCTAGTTCAATGGCAACAACACCTCTCAAGGTGTTCTGAGGATTAAATGAGATAAATGCAAGTCAAACTCTTCCCACAGTAAGAAGTGCATAGTATGTGCACAAATAAATTTAGATTTTTTAAAAAACGTTTTAATTATTGTTTTTTAAAAAGTGATGTAGAGACAAGTTTCCAACAAATTCTCAGTAATGACAGATAAGGCGAAAGCTCTTCTGTATTTTTAAAACTGCTTCAATATCTTTAAGTAATGCAGCCCACAGTGTTTAACTGATAAAGCACGGTATTTGTAAAGCGCTTCGAATTTAATACCCTCACTGGTTGACACTGTTGGAAACACTGGAGCAGGCAATGTGAGGGTGCAAAGCATTTTTTTAGAAACAGCTGCCACACATCGGTTTTCTCCGGGTGGAGGGAAAACTCCTCTTCCCTCCCTGGGACAATGACAAGTCGCAGCCGGACTCCAAGGGAAACAGGCGTCTCTGTACGAGACACTTAGTATTCTGGGACTGCGCGGAAGGGGACATAATAGTCCGCATGGAGCAGAACATAAGACTATTATGCCCCCACTTCCCTCTATGCACGGAGGGGTGCCGGAGAGCGCGGACCCCGTCTTCTCCGACTGCGTGTCGGTTTGGGTCGCGGGAGTAGAGCTGGTGGTCAGTGTCCTTGGCAGTCACTGTGGGCGCCCCAGACGCCGTCAGTCTTGCACATTGCCAACTCCGCGGCTCCCACCGCGAACTGCTGGGCAGGTCCGGCCGCCACGGGCCCCGCCTGCGCCGTCCCAGCCTTGATTGACACTAGAGTTGGTACATACGGGTCTGCAGCGGAGGCGAGCAGGGGGGTGAGCGCTATTTTAAACATGGCTTTCCTTCTCCCTTAGCCTCAAAGCCATCGTCGCGCACCCAGCCGTGGGCACGACCCACATGGGAATAACCCCTACATCTGTCCGACTTATTTATCTTTTTTCAATCTCCCTATGCATGTACTTGTTTTCCTCCTCTCGCTGCTTTCCCTCCGCACTAATCAAAACCTGGCAGTTTGTAGAGGAAACTCCCCTCCTGGAAGGAGGAATGGAAAGAGCTTCTGCTTCTTGTTGGCGGTGGAAACCATTCCGGAGAGAATGAGTTCAATAAAAGGGGAGCCGCGACGCTGGTAAGAAAGTGACACTTAGAAATCGATGAGGACGAGTTTTAAAGAGGGAGAAATGTCTGCAACAAGCATCTGAAAACAAGCGTGGAGAGCAAAGAGATTCGCAATTTCCGAGTTACTACAGAGCGCATTCCGCGCAACCCCTTGCAATAACAGGATCTGCTGTAAGCACAATTTGAAGGCCTTTGAAAAAAATTTTTTTTTGGTAAGACTTACCTTTCTCTTCGGCATAATGACTGTGTTCGTGCAGCTAAAAAGTAAAGCAACGGGCTGGAACTGCTGGCACCGCCGCTGAATGTTGCCGCCGCCGCTGCAGCTCCTCACGCGTGGGGCACGGCCTCTCCGACCTACACCTCCGCGGCTCCCTCCAGGGGCCCTCTACTCTGCCTTCCGGATCCTCCAATGAGGAGCTCCGGCAGCCGGCCGCGAGGCCCCATTGGCTGCGGCAACGTTCTAAATTCCACGAGGACACGCCCACCTCTGCGCGCTCAGTTCAGTACGCACTGTTGTAGTTCCCACTTCATCGAAAAATCTGCCTGGCGACTGGGCATGCCCAGCTCAACTAGTAACCCACAGGCCACAAGATCCTGGAGTTTCATTGTTTTGCCGCTCCCTGTTTGGATTGTATCAGTGTGGGCCTTCTAGGTAAGAAGAAGAGTAAGGATGGACACATTAACTTTATATTGTAAATATACACATAGCAGACACTATATATGGTTGCTACCCATAAAAGCTTGTAATGAATTTTATATGATGGATACCTGTAAGAGTGGGAAGGCACTCTGTTCTGGAAAAGTCTGGCAATCTTCAAGGCTCTTGGTTTTCCCCTCTAGGTATCTAGCGACAATAATCTCTAAAATTACTCAGCTCTTGGTTTCTGAAATCTATGATTACAAATTACTCACTAATCCAGCCTATTTCAAACGAGACTTGAAGATGAATAAGATATTTGTTATGGAAATTAGAAAAAGAATAAACAAGATCAGAACAGATTGTTTTATATTTGAAGCATGTATTTAAATATACATAATTTAAATATGCATAATTTGATGTTTCTCAAAAGTTCTGCCAGTCTCTGGGCATTGCAAGAATACTTCCGAATTTATTTTTATGAAATCAGTTTTACCCTGATGCCAAAACCAATGAAAGACCTCAAAAGAAGAACACTGAGACTAATATCCTTCATAAACTGAGACACGAAAATCTTGAACAAACAAAATTTTAGTAAATGAAACCCAACAACATTTAAAAGGATACTACAGCATGACCAGTACAGTTTATCTTGCAAAGATGGTGTAACATCTGAAATTCATCCAATGTAATTCACCATATTAATTGAATAAAGGAAAAAACCAATATGATTTTTCAACAGATACAGGAAAAGCACTAGTGAATGGATAAACGAATCGTGGTAAATACATACAATGAAATATTATTCAGAAATAAAAAGAAATGAAATATTCCTCCATGGATGAATGTTAAAAGTAAAATCCTACATGAAAGAAGTCAAATACAAAGGCCATACTGAATAATTTTATACATGCAAAATTATAGAAAAAGCAACATTAGGCAAGATTAGTCTCATAATCATATCAGAAGGCAAGAGTTTACATCATGGGAAAATATATTAAAGCCTTACACTACAAGTATGGCCAAATCCACTTCGGTCACACAGATGTTGCAAATATGTATAAAACAATGTCATAAAGTAAATTAATTTTAATGCTTGATTTTCTTAATTATTAATTGCGGAATAATGAATTGGTATCCTAGCAAACTCCAGAAGTGGTCAATGACTTTCTTTTTTGTAATGTCTTAAGGAATTCATGGATTTTTTATATATTTGTTGTGCTTTAATCTATAACCATTATTACTATTTTATTTTTGATGCCCACATTGCCCCAATATGAGAACTTTTTCAAATTAATGTCTGTGTCCTTTTGACATCATCCCAATTGCATTTGATAGATTCCGTGCTTTCAGACATTCAGTGGATCATGATATACTTAAAAGAACTGGGGTAAAACCAGTTATTTGCTTTATAACTGGATAGAAACTTTGAGGTTAATAATTTTACCATAAAAATAATATTTATAATGAAGTTGTCTTGAAAGAGAATTCATTTGCAAGATGCTTGATGGTTAAAAAAAAAAGCCAGTGAAGACATTTTTAATTAGATATGTGTGGGAAGGAAGCTGGGTAGTGCTTGAAATCTGGGTTGAATTGTTTTTCTTTATGGAGATAAAAAGGTGTCCTGACCAAGGTGGGGCTAGGATGAAGTTTTTTTCCCTCTGCAATGAAAAGTGACTCATGAAATTGGCTTATATAGTTGATATTTTTCTAGGCTAAACATTCAGTCAACAACAACAAACAATTGTGAATGTTTTTACTGCACATAGTAAAATGGCTGCAATGAAAATGAAGCTTGCAGGTTGGATAAAAAAAAGTTGATTGTGGAGATCTTGGGTCATTTAAGTCTCTTATTTCATTTCCGAGTGATGAAAATAAGAGCTTTGGTTGTAAAATAAATAACAGCATCGGTTCTCTTACCTTTGAAGTGGGTTGCACCCACCTGAGCAGAACACTAGGGAATGGAGGGTTCTCTCTATACCTTCAGGAGACTTTAAGGTCTGGGAAAATGAGCATAGACCTCTTCTGGCAGTCCTGAAGGTAAGAGGAGTAGGCAAAGAGAATGATTTGGTGGGTTGCTAGAATTCTGGGTTAGTAGATAAAGACACCTGAGGAAAAATGAACATGCCACATGCAAGACAGCAAGGAGGCCAACCTGTTAAGAAGTAAAGACTCATTGTTTATCAGTATATTTTGCTAGCATTTCTCTTGCTTTGATATATTAACCTCTAAGACAATAAACTCTTTTCTACAGTATGTGGATACTATCTAAGCCAAGATAGGCAGTGGATGAATGAAGAGAATTATTGCCTGAGGAAGAAAGAAGGAAAAATTAGTCAATAAGTTTCTTTTCCAATTCTAGCTCTTTTCCCCTTCTTTCCTACTCAGACGGTTAGAATCCTACACCTACCCTAGCGTTTTTCAAACAGCACGGCAAAACTATTTATGGTATCATGACTATCATTAAGGAAGGGTGGGGGAAAAAGAGAGAATGAGAGAAAGGGAGGGAGAAGGAGAGAGAAGAAGAGGGAAAAGAAAAGGCAGAGCATAGAAAATAATAAAGGTAGTGTTCTATAAAACATTTTCGTTTTCCATACATTCCCACATAAACACACACTACACACTTGTACACATATATGGTGTGTGTATTTCTGTTTGTGTGTGTGTTTTCTAGGTTGTGACTTGAAATATATTTTTAGAATGGGTCTTGATGAAAAAAGTTTAAAGTTCCTGCATAGCCCGAATGAATCTTATGGATCTTTGGGGCTCCAGTAATTTCTTCCTCTGGAAGAAAGGTGCTTGATCTTCAGATTTTAAAAGGAAATTCTGGAAAGAAATGATCACTTGCAAGTCACTTCCTTCTTGAGCTGTCCTTCCTTCCCTCTTCTACTCAGGCTCACTTAGGCTTTTGCTCTAAGTAATGGAAAATTATTGGAGAAGTCAGGTCTAGAATCTATATATTGTTGCTCCTGATAGTTCTGTAATTCCAGTTTATATTACTGTTCTTCAGTAAATAGGCCAAAGAATTTGAGAAATGAATGAATTTAGGAGTGTAGCAAAACAATATCAAAACAACAAACAAGAGGTGACAAAAGAATATTCTATTTTGTTTTTATTGGTCTAGTCTCTAATTTGATTGTATGCTAATTTTTGAAGAGACCACGTTTAGTTTTTACAGTCACTAGGACAGTCTATGAGCCACTGATCTCAAATCACAGGAGCTGCTTGATAAAAATAGAGATTATGGCTGAATCTAGGAATCTACATTTCAAACAAGCTTCTCATGTGATTTTTATACTAGAACTTGAGAATTCTAGTCTAGGCCTTAGCTCTCAACGAATATTTGCTGAATGTTGGTAGTTAGATTCTAGTGATGTGTATCTGTGAAAGTCTGTTGACTTCTTAATGCACTTTCAAAGCAGGAGTGGGTGAAACTCTACTCTCTTCCACAGACCTCACCTTAATCTTCAGATCTTAAGAGTTCTTGTACTTGTGCTCCATCTCTCCTCATTCCAGTTTTTCTTGGCACTATCTGCTTACTGCACATTCAGCACATTCTTATTCCTCTTCTCTACTTGCAAGGAGCCTGAAGGGTGATTAAAAACTATACCTCAAAATCTCTGGAAAAGCACCTCCTTTCATCTTTCCAGACAGCGCTTCAGGAAGCTCCTGGAGCCCCTGGCAAGATTAAATTCCCTAGTCCCATATCCCCAGTGGAAATCTAAAATGCCCAGAGCTCCACAAGCCACACCCTTTCAAGATTTTATTATTTCAATGGTTGTACAAGCATACCTTGTAAACTGCATTAATAGCAAGCGGGACAAGGGTATTCTGAGATCTTCTGAAAGGAACCCAGTTTTTGCTTTTCCCAGGTTTCAATCCAATTTAATCTGTGTTCAGAATCTTTATCTCAAATATGTTTTACATAGGTTTCCAACTCCCAGTCCTTTTCAGGTTCAGTCTCTGTGTTATTTACATCTCCTTGTTGCTGCTGTTTAAACTTACTGGAGTGTAATTAATTTACTCTTTGTAGCTCCCAAATGACTATTTGGGGATGAATTAGCTATGCTCAGTAGCTAGAACCAGGGATAGGACCACATTCATTCACCCATCCCTTTCTGCCAGATTGTTAGCATGTCCAGTGCCAAGAGCTAGCCATGTTTAAGGAGGTGGAAGTGAGGGAAGGGACTCCTCAATGTTCAGTGTGAGGACAGAGCAAAGTAAGGACACAGCAAAGTAAGGACACATCCTGCCCCCATAGGGGAAAAGCCACAAGCTTCAAGGTGCCAAAGACCAGTTAAGTATTGTTGCAGAGCTCTTAGACTGGGTAATATGGTCTTGTAGACAACTGCCACTGCCATTATGCTCACATAGACCACACCCTGCCCTCTACACTGGAGATCTTGGCTACCCATTTTTAATGTCTTCTCCATTTTCTTCCAACCTCAGAATTCTTGGGAGCTTATAAGAAATATCCAACAGCCTCATTCCCGTCATTATTTATGGTGGCCCTGCCCTTTAGGGCAGAGGGGACTATTTCCTTTCAGTGTGATTTTTTAGGGAAAAGACAATGAAATGAATTATTCTAGAAAACATATAACAACGACAATTAGAGGTGATTTTGCGGGTTAGTTTAATTAATAACTATTATAATTCTCAAGCACTAGGTAAGAATGAATACAGGCAATAAAATAAGTTTTACCAGGTCAGAAGAATTCTAGCCACAAGGCAATAAATATTTACCCAATGATAGAAAATCAGCCTGAATATG